GCACTCTTTCTCCTTGTGAAGGAGCCCAGAGGTGGCAGGACGTGTGCCACAGCCAGAGGAGTCACCCTGCTGGCACGGTCTGACAGGCAGCTCTAGCCCTCACTCTACTGAGGGCCACATCTTCAGGAGAGCCTCAGTGCTGTGGCTTTCACCACCAGCTGGTGGCCCTGAACCAACACCTTTGCAGCCCCTCTCAGGGCTGTCTGTCCCATGGACAGAAATCAGTAGCTGGGGGGAAAAAGGGGCCTTCTGGCTTGCTGTACATTTTTGAATTTTCCTTCGAGATTAGTGAGGTTTCTATTTCCCTTCTTAAATCCCATTTACCTCACTCAATGTAATCAGGCACAAGTGGAATGAAGTTAGTACTTGTGCACCACTTCACAGCATTCAAAAATGATTCAATAAATAGTGTGACAAGCACATGCTTTGTGCAGTTGGCAATTATAACCATAAAGGAAGGACCAGCCATACCCTCATCTCCGGGTGGATTATTAAAACTCACAATTCAGCTTGTTGAACTCATCACAGCTCCACTGGTTTCAAAGCCTGCACACAAAGAGAATTGCACTTCTCAGTTCCAAAAGTCCCAGTTTTAAATAGCCTGTGTTTCCTGTAAACAAGCAATAGCCCCCAAAAGCATAACCCTGTTAAAAGTGTGGATTAAACCAGGACTTTAATTTGCACTCACCTAAAGATTAGTTGTCAGTGTATATGGCTAAAATCATATGGGGAAGTGCAAGTAAATGACATTGTGTGCTAATATACAGCGTCTGCTGCTGTGTTTTTGTGCTCACAGAAAAGTTGGCCAAAGAAACAGGGGACTGCAGTACCACACAGCAGTTCATATCTCTCAGTTAAGCCTGTGCCCTGCTTTGTGGGACCTCTGTCCTTTCTTAATTTAGCTTTCAGGCAGGTTTTTGAAATGGTTCCCAAATTCAGGTCACATGCACAGAAGGAGAATTAAAATCCAATTATAGTTTATTTTACTAAATCAGGATTGTTTTAAATTAAAAATTGGTGTTTAATCCTTATCTGCTGTCTGTGTCATAGGAACACAGAGAAAGCTGTTTCTATGTCTTCTTTCCTCTGTATAATGTAGATTAAATGGCTGTGGTCCTCCTTCCTCTGTGTCCAATACCTTTGTGACTTTCTTGGGCAGAGCTTTCCTCTCATGAAAGCTGAGCTGGGCTTAAAATTCCCATTGGCAAGGTTTCTGGAGGCCTCACACCAGTCCTACCTCCAGAGCAGATGACAACCCTCAGAGCTGTGGCTATGTTTGCCTAGAGGATAATAGATGGTGAAGTCTGGCATTGCAGGAATGACACAGTTATAGCACAGCTGAGAGAGGGGCCCAGCCAAGGCAGGGGGAGCTGGGGGGCAGCAGTGGAACCCAGACTCACCAAATATTTAAGTCCTGGTTGCTCTTTAAGCAACTAGTCAGGAATCAGGAACTTTGGGGATCTGGCTCAGCACATCTAAAAGGGTGATCAGGAAATCGGTGGGGACTCATCTCAAGGGTTTATGTTACAATTGTATTTTAAATCTCTCTATTTTTGAACATAAGCCTCAGAGAAATCTTGGCTTGGCCCAAACTGGAGCACCCGATCACAGACAGCTCCTTAAAAAAGCCCCCAGCCTAACTGTGTATCTAGAGATCCTGAGCATGCAGGGGAAAATTAGGCCCAGCCATTCCCTCAAATTTAATCAGAAGCAGCCTGGGGCACAGAGATGCAAGTGCTGTTGATGGTCAAAATTCAGAGTTACATAAAGAGCAGTGAATGACAGAAGGCAATTAGGAGCTCTGCATAAAGGGCTCCATCCTCAGACTGTTCTTATTGCAGATATCAGACTGGGGTATGCCTCAGCACCTCAGCCTGGGAGCAGGCAGAAATTGGAGAGGCTGGAAATGTTCAATGCCAAAGCAGGTACATTTTCCCCCTCTTGTTTGCTCTATGCTAAGTTCAGTTTCTTTCCCAGCCACTTACTTGAGGCCAGGATGAGCAGCATTTGGATAAATATTTCCCTCTCTGCTGAAAAAGGAACAAAAAGAAACGTCTGAGGAAAGTGGAGAGAATCGAGGCAGTCTCTGTGTTACAACTGCCTCTAAGAGAGCCCAGGAAATAACATGCAGGATCTGGTGGCACCGTCAGCCTTTTGGTGTTCCCCTCACTTGGCTGCCCCACAGCCCAGCTTTGCAGCATGCAGTGGTGTGAGTTGGAGGCTGGAGGTGGTGCTGTGAGCAGCCAGGAAGATTCCACTGCCCACAGCTCTCAAACCATGGACAAACAAGGGCTGTTCTTTCCCCCCTTAACCTGCTGCAGGCTCTGCCTGTCCTGCCCTTCTCCGGCTTCTGGTCGGTAATGTGGAGCGCACATCCTGCGGCTGTCATGCAGGAGAGCATGCTCCTGCCTCATTATTCATGGGCTGTGCCCACAGGTACTGCTTGTTAAGCCTGCTGAACAGTTGCCTGAATAATTAAGAAGGAGCTGAATCATTCTTAGGCCAAATTCCGGTTTTCTCTCTCCTCCTACTTCATTTATAGGCTTCTCTTCTCACATATCCCCTGTACACAGTGTGAAACGACTGTTCAAATAGTACCGGATAGAGTCAATGAACTCCCCGTGTGCTTTTTCTTTTTGTTTTTTTTTTTCAAATTATCCTTAGAAGATGCTAAAGAATCAGTTAGAATTGCTTAGTGCACTTATTGCGACAGAAATCCCGGCACTGCGGTGCAAAAGCCTGCCCCCCTCTGCATCTCCCAGGATAGAGGCAGCCACATTCCTGAACAGCACAGGCTCCATCCCTTCCTCCCTCGTTTCCAGAACGAAAGGTGGCTGCTCCTTCTAAGCTTATTGGGCAACGTTTGTGATCTATTTAATGATTCTGCCCTTTGTTTTCTTATTAAGCTCCGTGATTTCTGCTGCAGCAGAGCTGGAAAATGAATCTTAAATTGAACCCAGCTTTCTCACTGGAAAACTACCTCTTATCCTCCTCCCACCCCCTCTCTGCTTTCTCTTCCTTTTTCCATTCCTTAAATCTCTTTCCCAAGTTATGCTGCATTTTATTTTGCCTTCACTGCATTTTCGTCCCTGGCTTTTGATGCACAGAGCCAAATTCATCCCTGCTGGTATCCAATGGACTGAAATTCTTCTCCGAGGCATTATTGGGCTGAATCCAAACCCAGCCAGCATTTTGCAGTGCTGGTGGCTTAGCCAAAACAACAGTTTATAATCTCTCTTTTCCTTCCCTTATCTACCGTTAATATGAATTATTAATAAGTACTAGTACTGCTGTGTTGAAAATCATTCTTGTTTCTGGAGCACCTATCAGCCGAGCTGTCTGGCTGAGAATTCCTTTTTAACTTTCTGTGTGTGCCAGGAAGTTGGGCAGCCTGGATTCCAGAGCAGGGCTCGCTCTGGGACTCCTCTGGCCATCCGCAGTGCTCACCTCACTGAGCGGGTGCCGGGCACGGTACCCCCTGCGGGAGCCGGCGAAGCTTTGTTCCTGACGCTAAATGCTTTTCCCAGCCAGGCTGCTGCTCCAGAGCCCTCACCTGGAGGGGGTGTCTGCGCAGTGTTAATCTCAGGCTGTGTTTACAGCCCGGGAACATGACAGGTTCTCTCCTTCCCTGCGGTTTCCGTGTGCACAGCTCATTAGATACTCTAATGCAGCAGGAAGCCCCTCTCGACTGAGAATTCCTTCTCGTATATTTAGCAAACTTTTGACTGCTTCCTTTCAAAAGAGACTGAAGGACATATTTTCGTAGGAAGAGGGTGAGACTCACAAAGCACGATCTACAGTCACGTTTTTCTGTGGGGAACTACGGAGCAGGGGAGGAGGAATCACCCGCAATTCTCTCTCCTTCTCCCCCGCGCCTCCCTCCCCTCCCCTCCCGTCCCTCCCCCACGCCCATACAACCATAACACGGGATGAACGCGCTCCAAAATACAGCTGCAGCGCCTTCCCTCTCTTCCGGTCTTCTTCGCCTTGGCAAGGGGGACGGGGGGGCAAGAAGGGAGGATGAGGATGGAACCACCCTCATGTGGAACTGATGTTTGGACTCCGCCATCCGCAGGCTGTTCAGAAAAGCCTGCACGCATGGTGTCGGAGTTAACCCAGCCGGAGCTCGCTCTCTGCTCGCGGGAGAGGCTCAGACAGGGAACAGGGAGGCATCATCTCCTGGTCTGGATGGTTCCATGAATGAAAGCCAAGGCTTGTGGGGTGAGAGGGAAAGGATGACTGAGGTTACAAAAGAGAGCATCGCACTTCGACTGCAATCCCCAATGTTCATTAAGATCCCCATTAAGAGATAAATTTTACAAACGTACATAGTTTTGTATGAAATGAAAGGATTTCCTCCCCATTAGAAATCACGTTGGAGACAGCTCCATTTGCTCCAAAGTAGGTACGCTCGGAATGAATATTTTAATTAATTAATGATAAATAAGCCAGGCACTTTCCTTGAACTGAGTTACCGTTTCCTTCCTCAGCAGCAGTGGCATGTGTTCACTGTGCTGTGTGTGTTCATGTACTTGTCCAGGCTTTGTTTTTGATTTCTGTCTCTCATTTTTGAACCTGTCCCTCAAATGATCAGTTACAACACATGTCCTTAACCACGGATTTCCTCGTGTTTGGCTGCTCCGACGTGGGAGAGGGGAGGGAGGAGGGGGAGAATAAACAGATTAACATACCCAGACCCCTGGCAGGATGTTCTGAGAAATAAAAAGAGGGGAGAGAAGGAAGAATTCACACAAAAATAGAAGCCCACGTAGATTGGCCATATATGGAGTACCGGGGACTTCAGAGGGATACCCTCTTCGGACCACCCCTTTGGCGGAGGAAATCGCTGCTGCGGGAGGGTCCCTGCCCCCCCTGGCCGGGCGGTCGGGCCGCAGCCGCCCCCAGCCCCCTGCCCCGGCCCCGGCCGCGGGAAGGCGGCGGCGGGGCGGCCGCGGGAGGCGGCGGGCCGGCTGCGGGAGCGGTGCGGCGGCGATGACTCAAACCCGCCCGGCCCGCTCTGCCCCCTCCCGCTCCCCCCGCCGGGGAGGGCTATTAAAAGCTGCTGACGTAGGAGCGGACGGCCATCTTTGATGAGGGCACGGCTCCCGATCCATTGAAGAAGGAGACCCGCGGAGGTCAGCAGCCTCCTGTCCTTGCCTCCCATCCAGCTGCGGCACCGAGCCACCGACCCCGCCGCGCCGCGCTCCGCCAGCCCAGGTAAAGGTGGCCCACACCGCGGGCACCGGCTCGGCGGGGGAGGGGGCCGTATTGCCGGTAATGAAATGGAGAAATAGCACATATTTAAAGTGGGACCCGTTCGGCTTTTTGTCTCCAGCCTCTGGCTGCTGCGGGCACAGAGAAAGGCGGGGAGAAGGGGGTGATTTCGCCGCCAACCTCACGGCCGGCTGGAGCCAGGGAGGCAGCCGGGCTGTGCCTCTCGGCCGTGCGGGCGGCAGGAGGCCGGCGGGGAAGGCAGTGTCGGAGGAGAAGGGGAAGCAGCGCCATTCCCGGCTCCGAGCGGGGAGAAGCGTGTGCGGCGCTCTGCGCTGCTGGGCCGGCCCGGGCTGTGCCGCCCCGGGCACTGCAGCGCCCGCAGCGCGCCGGGCTGCGGCGGAGCATCAGCACCGCGGACAGCGGGGGCCCGAGCGGCGCCGGGAGGGGACGTGCGCCCGTGTCCGTGTGTCTGACCGTGTGTCCGACCGTGTGTCCGGGTGTGTGCTCAGCACGGCGGACAGCGCCGGGCCCGAGCGAGACGGTGAAGGGACGCGTGTCTGTGTCTGTGTGTCCGTGTGTGTGCTCAGCACCGCGGACAGCGCAGGGCCCGCGCCGGGACCGGGGAGTGCGAGCTGTCTGTGTCTGTGTGTCTGTGTGTGTGTGTCTGTGTGTCTGTGCCTGTTCAGCACCGCGGCAGCGGAGGCGGCCGTGCTGCAGAGCCCTGCGGCTCCGCGCCCCCCGCCCCAGGGCTGCCCCCCCGGACACGGGACTGGGAAGCGATTCCCGACTGGCGAGCGGCGGTGCTCCCTCATTCCAGGACAGGACCGCGGGCAAGCGCAGTTATGGCTCTGTAGCTCAGAGTGACGAGAGGGAGAAATAAAATTTTGAAAACAAAAAGCAAGCAAGCAACAACAAAAGCAAAAAGCAAATAACATCAGTTGCTGCAATTAATCGGCGCTCGGCACTCGGGCCCCTCTCCCTGAGCGGTGTCTGTGCAGGGAAGCGGGGGTTACATAACGCCCAGCCCGGGGGTCCCCCGGGCCGAGCCCTGCCCGCAGGGAGCACGGGCAGCCCCCCGGGGCTCCCGCAGCCGCGCTCCGAGCCCGCGGGCGCCGCTGCGCCGCGACACGGGGACACGGGCCCGCGCCGCCCCCCGCCGGCCCCGCGCTGCGGAGCGGTGCGGAGCCGCCGCCTTATGTAACGCGGGCTGCCCCGTCACGGCTGCTGGCCCCGGTTCCCCCGGCGCCGCCGGCGCTCCCTCCGCCCGCCCTGTCCGCTCCCCGGCACCCCAGCCGCCCGAACGCCTCGCTGAGGTCCCAAGTTGGTAACTTCGCTGGGGTTTTTTCCTGCGGGGCGAATAAACAAGGGGAGAAAGGGGCATTGGGCTGCGTGTCCAGACGCTGCGCTGCGTAGCTGCGTCAAACCGGAGCCGCGGGATCTGCCAGATTTACGTGCTTGGCCTGAATAATTGCTGCTGGTTTCGTTCCCAGCTGAAGAACGGGGGCCGGGGGGGAAATGGGGGGCTGGCCTGCGGCACCGCCCGGGGGTGGCAGAGCAGCCCCTGAACCCAGACCCGTTTGCTTCCAGCCCCGGCCGCAGCATCTGCAAGGACATGCCTGTCCCACAGCCCCTCCTGGTCCTAGCTCTGGGCATGGAGCAGCTCCCCCACTGATCAGCACCAGGATGGTGTGGGGCAGCCTCCCTGCGGGCGGCAAGGGGAGGGATGGAGCCATCTGGGAGATGGGTGCTCCGGTGGCAATGGCTGGGGAACGGACCCTCTCCTGGGCCCCCAGCCACCTGCACATCCCTGCAAAGAAGCCAGTCCAGGAAGAAGCAGCGGTGGTTTTCCATTGCTGCAACATCACGCAGAGCAGGTCAGCCAGGAGGTGACTGCTGAAGAGTTTAGCTCCTAGGATGGGTGCCAAAAGGATAACAGAAGTCACCAAACCAAAGCTGCAGGCAGGCCTGATTGACAAAAGCAAAAGCTTGAGGCTGCCTCTGAAGTCAAGAGGAGTTGCAGAAACTCAGCACATTACAGTACCAAATGTAGCTAGATAGCAACCCCCAAATAAATGCAGCTTAACTTTCTTTCCACAGCTAACTAGAAAATGAGAGTGGCATTTCCAAGAACTCTCGGGACCAGGCTGTGTGTCCATTGAACTCATGGGGGCAGTGAAAGAAAGAACAGCAGAATCCAGCCAGCGTGAACCCTCAAAACACATCTAATGAGATGCAGCTCCACTTCCCAGATTTATTGCACTGGAGGTGGGAGATGCTTTTCAGGTCAAGGGAAAGCTTTTCATTTTTCTCCCTATGCTTTAGGTATGGCAACAAATGGCAAGATGAAAGTGCTGAGGCAAATAAAGCACGGTCTCTGCCTAGTGCTTGCACTGCTTTAACTGCGCGAGGTAACGAAACAAAACACTTTTCCTGTCAGTGGGAACAACTTCAGCGATTTGTACCTCTGTGTGTCACAGGGCTACAGCTGCTGCATTTGTAGCAACCCTCAGGGAAAAATAGAAAGTGTATGGCATGGTGTAGGGCTCAGTTTGCTAATGATTTCTTCTCTCAGGAACGAAGAAGATAAACTGTTTTCCCTTTACCTTGGCTTGTTGTCACACAGTTACTCTTTCTCTTGCATTTTTCCCCCCAAATCTCTGTCATAATGTTTTATAACATAAGGAGGGCACTTTCATCTGCACATATTTATATGCACACACGCACTCAAATCTCAGAGATTTCCAGGTTCTAGGCTGGGTAACACCACAACAGATGCAGGCTGACTTTGCAGCATTCACTGGGCAGAGTGCATTTTTCTGTCTATGGAGTTCCATGCCCTGCTACCAGCGCAGCCACCTTTGGGCTGGGCCAGTGCCAGGCAATCTGTAACAACAGCCTTGCTCAAGCATTTCAGAGCTTTAGAGTCTAAGGCAGACAAGAATAATGTGTTGCTGGAGAGCTGCTGCAGGATGCACTTCTCAGGCAAATCGTGATTACCTCTAGGAAGCTGGGCTTTGGAGCGGGCATAGGGCTCGTCTATCTACTCCTGGGAATGCTGGATATAGTTTGTCAAGGCTGTAAGTTGTCACAGAATAGTTTATTTTTTAGCTTTTCCTTTCTGAACCTCCAACGGTCTGTTTTTCATTAGTTACAATACGCTCTGGCTCTCTTGCCTACTGACCTTGCAGATTCAGTTTCCTGCATTGTATTGCAACAACTTTTTCCAAAACACACAAGTTATATTCCTAGTTCTTGTCTGTCATCGCTATGTTACTCCCTCCACAAATGCTCAGACACACACAAACACCCACCAGCAAAATCTGCCTCTTATCTGATCATGATTTTCAATATGCTGTCCCACATCCCGCTACATTTTCTAGGACTTTCCACCAAGCACAAAGACAAGTCAACCGCACAGGTTCAAAATTCTTGCTTTGTAATGGCCCCAAGGCTGACACTGCAAGACCCAAAAGTGGATCTGAGTGGCCTTGAGGAAGTGTTTGAACCACTTGCCCTGCTATTTTAGGAGGAAATTTAGCTTTGCTCTTGCATCTTTCATCTTGTTCACTTGCTATTTGCTCATCACCTCGTGCTCACCTACAATCCTCTTTTAATTCCTGCTAAAGATCGCCAGGATGAAAGAAACACATCAGGGGCATTAGGACCCTGATGTGAAGGGTGATGAGTGTCACCTTCTGATTTTGATTATTCCAGCAGGTCTAATCCAAAGTCAGTTGGAATCAAGGAAAATACTTCACTACATCATTCTGTGGGACTTATAAAAGAATATTTAGCAGTTTGGGTTTTTCAAAGGGAAACAAATTCTGTGTACATATTCCCTCTGAAATATACTAGCTCCAGTGATTCTAAAGAGAATGTAATATTGCGTTATAGCATTTTCATTTTTTTTCTTCTTTTCTTTTTTTTTTTAAATAATAAGAGACATGGTTTCTGTCACTGGAGAAAGCAGAATTCTACTACAGGCACAGGGAGGAGAAGAGGGAAACACTGAGTAATTAATCATGGCTGTTCCTGGCCTTTTAGAGCTCAGTGTTAGTGCTGACCAATCTGTGCTCTGTCTGGCTATTTAGGAGATGTTTTATTTTTCCTTTAAAGCGAACAGTGCTGTGTTTCACCTTTTGAATGGGATGTAACTTATTGTTTGGCCCCATTGTCAATGGGTGTGAAGTGGCACAACTGAGTGCTGTGCTACTCTACAGGACGATAATCTTTCAAGCTGGGACTCCTTGTTTGTGTTTTAAGCCGGAAATGGGTCTATTTGCTGAAGGAGCAGCTCTTCTAAAGAAAGAGCTCATTTGAGATGCTGCCCTCCCAAAGCCCATCCCTGTTTTTTCCCAGCCTGCTGTCAGTGTTGCAGACCCTGATGGCCAGGCTGCCTCAGCAGGGCTGCCAGGGAGCAGGGACGAGCAGCAGAGCAGGAATCCTGCCTGTTACGCCTCTCTTTCAGGCTGGGTTCTGCTGCACTCTGCTGGTACATAACACCAGCAGAACTTGAATGTGGTGTAAAACCCAGAACACAGCTGAGTTTTTCCTAAAGGCACAGTTGTGTGCAGAAAAAGTCAGAAATTCCTAGCTGTAGCCATTAATTGTTCTTTCAGGCTGGGGAGTAGGGTGAAATTTTCCTGCATTCCACTAAGTGCACAGGAAAATTAGGCTTCTTCCCTCAAGTTTTTAAAAGGCAATATTCTTAACGGCTGAGACATTGTATTCATAGAGTTGCAATATGAAAGAACAGAGGCAAAGCCAAGTCTCCCTGTACAAGTGTCCAAAACTGAACAAGAGGAACTGTTCTTATATGTTTTCACTATAATTATAGTTTTCCTTGTGCTTTTGTGATGACCAAGTTTTTGTGCCAGCATTTACTGGTAGAATCCATGAGCAAAATGAGAGTTATCACAGACTATGGCAGTGCTCATGACTAAAATTTGCATCCTAGACATTACAAAAGGATGCCTCATGTAGGTGATTTGTGAAATTAATGC